ATTCTATTCTATTCTATTCTATTCTATTCTATTCTATTCTATTCTATTCTATTCTATTCTATTCTATTCTATTCTATTCTATTCTTTTTGATACCAAATCATCTTCTACCATGGATCCTTCATTTTCTTTTCTTTTTTTTTTTGCCAGAAAGCCCTTGAAAAAGTATAAAATTATTGTAAGAAGGCAGAACCTTTTGGCCTGGTTTAATATATGCTTTCACGTGCTTGAGAACCGGCTTCAGGTTATTCTCGTAGCGGACACATAGGTTTTCGATCTTGATTTCCCCTTCTTGAGGCCAGTCTTTGGGTACTTGAGAAATATCTGAGGGAAAGATCAATGCAGAAGCGTCCTGATTTGTACGATCCTTTCCTTCCCACCTTTGTCTTTTTAAAACTAAATTTAATGTTACTATTTATTGTTTTAAGGTTTTAAAAGGCTTCAGATGGGTGTTTCACTGATTGCAAGCCACCTTGAGACACCTTTAGTTGAAATGGACGACATATAAGTTTGAATAAATAAATACAATTAGGATAGAATAGAACAGAGGTCTTCAAACTTGGCAACTTTAAGACTTGTGGCTATGCTGGCTGGAGAATTAAAGGGGTTGAAGTCCACAAGTCTTAAAGCTGCCAAGTTTGGGGACCCCTGGACTAGAATAACAGAGATGGATGGGACCTTGAAGGTCTTCTAGTCCAACCCCCTGCTCAGGCAGGAAACCCTATACGATTTCAGATAAGAGAAAATTTTCTTATGCTCTGATGGGAAAGCAAATTTGGTCTAGTGGTTAAGGCACCAGCTAGAAAGTCAGGAGATTGTGAGTTCAGGTTCCACTTTAACCACAAAAGCCAACTGGATGACTTTGGGCCAACCACCAGAAGTGAGTTCTAATCCCGCTTTAGCCAAGATAGCTGGCTAGGTGATTTTGAGCCAGTCATTCTCTCTCAGCCCAAGCCAGGATTGCTGTTGTGGGAAAAATAGGAGGAAGGTGTGTTGGATATGTTCAGCAGCTTGAGTTGGTTGTAAACCTAACACAGGTGGGATATAAATAAATAAGCCACCATAATTAGGAAATTCATCAGAAAAGTAGACAATGTGATACGAAGGGAATGTCAGTTAAGAAGAACCTTTTGATTCAGCCAGGCTGCATCTCCAGATAAAGTGATTTCCCACCCCCTGGTTTACATCAGTTATGAGGAACGTGGACCAAACAGAGCAGCATCTGGAATGACAACATTCCCAATTTATTTTGGAAGATGGCAATTTGTCACAAAGAGCAGTAGCAAAGCAAGATTTATTTACTTTCAACGAGTTGGCTCCCTTTGAGGTCAAATCTCAAGGCAGGTTACTTCCAACAGTGATAATGCAAAGTAAACAAATCAGACTGCTTTTCAAACTCGTAGTATGACTCAAGTCTAACGTCAGTCCTCTTCATGACTGACCAAGGAGACCAAATCATGCTTCCCTTTTATTCAATAGCTGGCAAATGAAGTCAAATGAACTGGTTGTTCTCCAGCCAAAAAAGGGAGGGATTTGATTGTAATTGCTCTTTGGGGCTGCTTGGCTACACATTGACTTTCAGCAGCTCACAATTTGAAAAGAAGTAAAAAGAAAACAAGACTGACTTCGTAACAGAAAGATTTTTGGGAAGATTTAACCTGGAAATAAGGAGAAACTTTCTGACAGTGAGAACAATCAACCAATGGAACAGTTTGCCCTCGGAAGTTGTGGGAGCTTCATCACTGGAGGCTTTCAAGAAGAGATTGGACTGCCATCTGTCAGAAATGTTGTACGGTCTCCTGTTTGGGCAGAGGGTTGGACTAGATGACCTACAAGTTCACTTCCAACTCTGATTATCTGTTATCTGTTAAATATTGGAAGACTGTCCACATGTCACCAAGTCATCAAGTTGACTTGCTACCTCTAAATATCAGTGATACATTTCACTAAAGGCTCTACCCGTACAGGGAGAGCCTCAAAGGGACCTCTGATCTTGGGGTGCCCTTCAATTTCAGCTATTGAGATGGATTTCATACAATTGGTCAGTCGACTCTACTGAGTGTTGCCCATTAAAACAACATCGGTAATGCCGCACCTATGGTGCCTTCATAATTCTCAGACTCCATGTTGAGAAAGCTGTTCACTTTCTTCACGGCCCCCATTTGCACTTCCAGGTCGGCCAAATTTCGCACCACCCAGTTCAGGTAGTTGGTGATCTATAAGGAAAAAGGAAAGAGGGGGTGAAAATGAAAAGAGGGGCATCTGGGAAGGGTCGGAATCTTGACGTGGTTGGAACCACGGGAATAAAGCTTTTATTTGTCATGGTATTATTCCCTTGGAGAAAGTGTACGGTGCTCATTGTACATGTAGGAAAAACAATCTCCAAGGTTTTAGAAAGTTGTTTGACCATCTACAGTGCATCCTAGGAAGGGAAGGGAAAGAGAAAGGAGAAAAGAAAGAGAAGGGAATAAAGAAAGAAAAAGGGAAAAGATGGGAAGAGAAAGGAAGGAAGGGAAGGGAAGAGAAGAAGTAAAGAAAGAAAAAGGGAAGAGAAGGAAAGAGGAAGGAAGGGAAGGGAAGAAAGAAAGGAAAAGGGAAGAGAAGGGAAAAAAGAAGAAGGGAGAAAATAAAGAAAAACAGAAGAAAAGAGAAGGGGGCAAGAATGGACAGGAAGGAAGGGAAAAGAAGGGGGAGAAGGGAGGGAGTGGAGAAAAGAAAGAGAAGGGGAGGGGAGGGAAGAAAAGAAAGAAGGGAGGAAAGAAAGAAAGAAAAGGGAGAGGGAAAAGGAAAGGAAAAGAAATGGACAGTTAAGCTGTGAATTTGGGAAAGTTAAACCTCGATGACCAATCATTATTCAGGCTACTCTAGTCCTTGCATGCACGTTTCCCTTCCTTTCCTTGGGAGCATGGAGGGCCTGGGAATTTCAGTGACTTTATTATTATTATCATCATGCTTTTAATTGGCTCACATAAAGCTGAAGCTGCTCCAAGTTGTCCTGAACTCTTTCAGCCCTGGCTGAAATCCAGGACTGCAAGATTTTCCACCTCCCACCCCCAGTATTGGGAACCTTGAGAAGCAGCTGCATATCCAGAAGGCTTCGGGTGGGGTCTGTGACCCCGAGGAATTGGTTGCAAAGAAAATAACTCTGCTGTGTCAAAACGAAACGATCCTGAATCTTGCAGGATTCTTACCTGTTTTGATGCTGGCTACATAATGGACTTTCCTGGCATAAAATACCAGGGAAATTCCTTTTTCCATCTCTACCTACCGTCAGTGCATAGAGGAGACCCAGACCTACGAGGCCAGAAGAGGAGCGGTCTGAGATGGAGGCCACAGCTGCAGTGAGGACAATGAAGGCGCCCACGTAATCCTAAAAGAAAGGAGAGACAGAAAGGGAACCATTTTACGCAGCAAAGCTAAGCTGAGCAAACATTAAAAGCCCCATCAACCCTATGGATATTTTTTTCTTTGCATTGGCCTTCTTCTGAATGCAGATGCTACCAAAAGGAGAAAGCATTACCAAGGGTGCTTTCTTTCCCTTAAGAGGATCCATAGTTGGTTTGCTGTCACCAATCACCCCTTCTTTGTTATGCTGGAATTATATGGAGGTTCTCAATCATCCAGGTCATGGTTGCTCCAAAGGTCCTTTTGGAAAAGATGGATTTTCCTGCTTTTTTAAATCAATCAATCAGAATAGAGCTGAAAGGGACCTTGGAGGTCTTCTAGTCCAACCCCTTGCTCAAGCAGGAGACCCTATACCATTTCAGACAAGTGACTCTCCAGTCTCTTCTTAAAAACCTCCAGTGATGAAGCACCCACAACTCCTGAAGGCAAGCTGTCCCATTGCTTAATTGTCATTACTGTTACGAAGTTTCTCCTTAATTCCAAGTTGCTTCTCTTCTTGATAAGTTTCTATCCATTGCTTCTTATCCACGTTTCACTTCTCATCAGGAACTGAACTGAAAAAGCTTCTTGGATGAGAAGTAAAAGGGGGAAAAAAGCACCTTTGGGACAATTCTTTGCAACATTTCACGCAAGGTGTGAGAGGGCCTTACAGTATTTTGACCTAGCTTCCCATCTATTCTTGCACGGCCTACTTTGGTTGGCACCATCCTCCTGAAGGTCTCAAGCAGGAGACTGTTATTCAGAATAATTTCGATCTGTCCACTCCTGGACCAGGAGGAATCCAAGTTTGTGACATCCAAACTCATAGGACTGGAAGGGACTGGAAGGTCTTCTAGTCCAATCCTTGCCCAAGGCAAGAAACCTTCTTCCATCCTAGACAAATGATTGTCCAATCTTTTCTTGAAAACCTCCAGTGATGGAGCACCCACAACTCCAGGAGGCAAGCTGTTCCACTGATTAATTGTTCTCACCGTCAGGAAATTTCTGCTTATTTCCAGGTTGAATCTTCTTCTTATGAGCTTCCATCGATTCCTTCTTAGGGACAAGGGACTGTCCGATAAGGAGATAGTAACTGTCTTGTGTCTTAAATGGGATATTTGCCTGAAATGGTATAGGGCAGTAGTGGCTAATCTTTTTGACTCCTGTGCCAAAAATTGTGTGCGCGCTTGCACGCTCACGTTCGCGTGCCAGCACCCAGAAGGCAATGCGGCCCCCCCACACTCCCTACGCATGCGCGCACAATCCCACCCCCACCCCTGCCGCCTCCTTACCTGTACTGAGCCTCATAGCTGATTTTCGGTGGGTTTGAGGCCTTTTTTGGCCTCCCAAAGGCTCGAGGAAGGCTTCTGCAGGCTTTGCAGGCTGAAAACTAGCCCTGTTTCGTCACTTCCGGTATTTTCGGAAAAACAGGAAGTGACGAAATGGGACTAGTTTTCGGCCTGCAAAGCCTGCAGAAGCCTTCCTCAAGCCTTTGGGAGGCTGAAAAAGGTCTCAAACCCACCGAAAATCAGCGGTGAGGTGCGCACATACGCAGTGAGGTACGTTTGCCTGCAGCTCGCATGCTGGCACAAATGGCTCTGCATGTCACCTGTGGCATGCGTGCCATAGTTTCGCCATCACGGGTATAAGGTTTCCTCTTGAGCAGGAGGTTGGATTAGAAGACCTCCAAGGTCCCTTCTACCTTTGTTATTCTGTTATGCTATTGTATTCTTCTCACTAGCCCATTTCTGAGTTCATATGCTATCTTGGCTTTTAAATTAATCAAAGGATCTGGGTTCGTACAACAGGCATGACACCATAAAAAAAGCCATCCAAACCAATCAAAATTAACCCTACCCAGTTTTACAAATTGAGCAAATGTAGCTACTATGCCTTTAATTAAGCGGGTGGTTGCGAAAGGATCTCTTGGAACCATTCAGAAAACAAGTGATAAGAGGGAGACCTCAGAGAAGAAGTTCCATCATGAGCTGATGATGAATGATGTTCTATCAGTCTTTGTTCTGACAGGCAGAAGCAGGCAGTTTCTTAAAGGGAAGTCTTCTGGCTTGAACCAGGGCAACCTGCGGTGGTGAACTGGTTTGCCATTTGAGGTCCTCCAGTCAAGGAGAATAGGATGGGAGATTCTAGAGAAGATGGAACTTGACTAGTGACCCCTGATTGCTTCACTCAGTATCAGTCTACAACCACAACTTCCATCTGCGGTCAATGATCAGCCAGTTGCCTCTTTTTCTCTGTCAGTTTAAACATAACTTTTGGATCATACAGGACTTCCTCCCTGTAAAACATGCACTTGATCTATGACCCTCCAATACTTCAGATTGGAGAGATTTTACATGGCAACCTTTTCCGGTCCATAATCCTCCAATGGGAGTTGTAATCAAAAACATCTGGAAAGACCTTGGTTGGAGAAAGGCATTATAGCCCTTCATAACGCTGAGAAACAGTTGTCTGAAGATCTTTCCAGTGTTTCCATTATCCAAAACACTCCGTGTTGAACTGGCCTTATGGGTACCAACCCCAGGAAGATTTTGGTTTGGGAGCTACCATGACCACAGTAATAGATGTGGAGCCTCAATCATGATCTACACAAATACAGAAATACAGTTTTCAGACAAAGTGGGCAGGCAAATCTCCACTGGAAAGTAGAGATTCAACATATACAATCCTAGCGCGCTAGTTTTGTTCACAGAGATTATTCCAAATAATAATATGTCTAGCGTATACGAACTGGGTCACACACACACACACAAAAATGTGTGGAAGTATTCCTTCAGATATTATAAACAAATATGGGAGGTATTTCTAAACATTAATTTGAAACAGGAAGTAAGTCCTGTGAACCAGTTTTTGAAAGAAGAATCTTGGGTCATCACTTGTCAGAGGGATTCCACTGCAAATAATGTCTATTCATTGAAGCAAATTCATTCTAGGGTTTCCAGCAGAAGAAGATAGGGAGAACTTGCCAGAATAACAGAGTTGGAAGAGACCTCAGGGGTCTTCTAGTCCAGGGGTTGCCAACCTTTTGAACCTCAGGCACCACCAAACTCATAATTTTAAATCCCGCAGACTACTAATATGAATTTTGACTGATGGTGGCTTGCTGACGTTTTCCTAGGGTCTCTACAGAAAGCATCAGAGACCCTGGGGAAATCCCCCAAAAAGTCTGCAGGAAAATTCCCCACCCCGTTTTCCTACCGATTGATCATCTTTATTTGGGATTGCAGGATTCCATCTCCATCTCCGTTCTCAGGGTGAGAGAGAGAGAGAGAGAGAGAGAGAGAGAGAGAGAGAGAGAGAGAGAGAGAGAGAGAGAGAGAGAGAGAGACTTTTGGCTTCATGCAAGGAAAGCAGCAGAAGCAGCAGAAGTCTCTTTCTCTTCCTCAAACTCTGCCATAAATGAGTCGTTGTGAGTCTTGTCGCGCTGGTGCAGCCTCTTGGAGCAGGAGGCCTTGCAGGGTCCCAAAGACTCATTTCTGGCAGAGTTTGGGGAGAGAAAGAAAGACTTCTGCTCCTTTCCTTGCATCCAGCCAAAAGCAGAAGAAGAAAGAAGCGGAAAGAAGCAGCCCAGTGGCCAGGCCAGGCGCGTGGGGCAAGTTCCCCCCCTCCGCCCTTCCCCCCTCCCCTCACTACCTTGTGTTGTTCGCAATGCAAGCAATGCAAGCCTTGTGTTCCTGCGGGCCATGTGGGCAGCGCAGCCTTGTGGTCCTGTGCAGACTGGATTAATTGCTTTATGGGTGACATTTCTCTATGGACCACCAAAATTTTCTCGCAGACCCCCAGTGGTCCCCGGCCCACTGGTTGGCGACCATTGTTCTAGTCCAACCCCTGTACAAGCAGGATACCCTACACCAGTGGCCCCCAACCTTTTTTGTGCCGCGGCCCGGTACCGGCATCACAAAATGATCCACGTCCCGGTACCGGCATCAGCACGCATGACAAGGCAAGGCGAGCCGAGCAACCGGCCAGCCAGCCGTCCCCCGCTTCTCCCCGCCACCTTCAACTCCTCCTTTGTACCTTTGTTGATGGGCTTCGCTTCGGGACGGCTTCGGGACGGTCGCTCTGCTCGCCTTGCCTTGGGTGCTGAAAGAATCTTCGCGCCTAAGTTTCGTTCGAAGCCCCCCCCCTTCGATGAAACTAAGGTGCAAGGATTCCTTCAGGACCAAAACGCCGCTTTCCAACCGGAAAAGCTCACCCGGAAGCACTTTCTCGTCAAACAAGATGGCGGCGCCCAGAAAACCGGCGGCCCGGTAGGAAATGTTCCACGGACCGGTACCGGTCCGTGGCCCGGTGGTTGGGGACCCCTGCCCTACACCACGTCGGACAAAGGATTGTCCAATCTTCTTCTGAAAAACCTCCAGTGATGGAGTACCCTCTAATATAAGCAACATGCAATCATTTTACTGTAAAGTCATATTTCAATCTCAAAACAACCTACTGTTGTGAAGCCAAGCAAATGAAATAGCTCCAATTATAATTTTATTTGGGAAATATACAATGGAACGTAAGAGCTTAATTCAGAACCAAACACAATCGCATGAGTAAAGTCCATAAGTGCATAAGGAGTACATTTCCAGATTTTTCTCATTTCTGCAAAATTAGCTATATACCTTACATTCCACAAGTGTAACTGATGCTTAAACCTGGTGATCCTATAAGAAGGCCCAGGGACAAAGAAATACAGGTAATCCTTGACCTTCAATCACAACCGAGCCCCAAATTTTTGTTGCTGAGACATGTCTTAAGTGAACTTTGCCTCATTTTATGACATTCTTGCCACGTTTGTTAAGCAAATCACTGCAGCTGTTAAGTTATTAACACCGTCATTAAGTGAATTTGGCTTCCCCCATTGACTTTGCTTGTCAGAAGGTCACAAAAGGTGATCACATGACCCCGGGACACTGCAACAGTCATAAATATGAGTCAGTGGCCAAGCATCCGAATTTTATTTTATTTTTTTTGTAAATTTTATTTGAGTTTTCACAAAGAAATACAAATGAAACATCTTTTTTTGAAAACCTCCGAATTTTGATCCCATGACCATGGGGATGTTGCATTGGTCATAAGTGTGAAAAATGGTTACATATTTCAGAGCTATTGTAACTTCGAATGGTCACTGAACAAATTGTTGTAACTCAAGTGCACAGGGCAGCTTAAGAGAAATGATATAATCTCTGACTTGGCAGCCCAGGAAAAAAGGATTAAGTGATCTACTCAGCATCTCGTTTGCATCTCAGTCCTATAAAAATAGCAAACTTTATTTTCTCCTCAAAGAAAAGTGGGTAGGAAACCCTTAGCATAAACTACATTAATCTATTTTAGGTGTTTCTGGGTTTTGTTTTGTTTCGCCAGGTCTTAGCAACGGGTTCTCTGCCTGCTTGCTGGGTGGCTGTGGCGTTGGTGGGAGTGGCCTAGTCAGCCTCCTGCACCACGGCGGGGGGGTGGGGAGTGTTTTCCTCCCCTGGCTCCAGAGGCTTTCCTCAAGCCTTTGGGAGGGTGAAAATGGCCTCCCCGGGCTCCAAAGGCTCCCTGGAAGTCGTAAACGGGCCTGTTTCTGGCCTTCCTGAACTTCCAGGAGGCCCATTTTTCGCTCTCCCCGAACCTCCCCGTGCGCCTTGCACTTACCTGTATCCAAAACAGGCCGCATGAGAACTCCTGGGAGGGAAGGGGAGGGGTGGGCGGGGCCAGCCAGGAGTGGGATTTGGGGGGGGGGGGTTCTCCGAACTGCAGAGAATCTTAGCTAACAAGTGTAAAGTTTATGGGAAAATGGAAGTAATAGTATGATATAGAATTGAATGTGAAAGATAAAATATATATACTAAGAACACGTTTGTATTGAAGTGTTAAAAACCTGGAACCGCATTGCAGGTTGAACCACATGGAAAGAGATGTTTTTAAAATGTAAACAAATAAAAAAAAATATTGCAAAAAAAAAAAGAAGAGAGAAAAGAATCTTAAGCTAGGGGCTCTCCCGAACCCTTGCGAATCCCCAGCAGCCAAGCCCTGGATGTAGCTCAATGAGAAATATTTGCCTGGCCTGCTGTATCCAATGAAGCAACGGCTGGATTTAAAGATTTCCAAAGAGTGACAGTGATGAAGTTATACGCACCGTCCTAACCTCCAGCCATCTGTTGGCAGCAGAGAGGAACAAATATGCGATGTTGTTGGTGTCCGTCAGTTCCAGCATTCGTTGTTTAAATCTGGGCTCGTGCCTGCAAAGGGGAAAACCATCCTGGCGTTATACGTGACTTAATCGTCGGAGGCCACCGCTCTACAACAGGCAGAAAGGATGGCAGAATGCCAGGAAGGGGAATGGAGCAGTTGCAGGAGCTACTGAAAAACTAAATTGGAGCAAACGTGCGTCTAAGAACTTGCCAAGACTTTTTAGGAAGCAAAGCAGTGATGCTGTGCAATGTTTTGGCTTTGGGGCTTTTTTTTTTTTTTTTTGCTTATATCTCCCCATTGGTTATCTTCTACTGCTTCTTCTCATCCTCCATAATTCGATTTCCACAGTTTTTACCTTATGTTGCCACCAGAATCTGAAAATAACATTGAACACAACACAGTACTTAAGCAAAATGGTTCAGTTGAGATCTGCCTATGTGGGACTGATTGGGGTAGATTGCAGGGGTGACACCGAAATATAATTTTATCATATTTTATCTACATCTTAAACTATTGAATTCTATTCCAATTTCATTTTAGACACTATTTTATTCCAGTTTCATTTTAAATCGTATTTTATTCCTATTCCATTCTGACAATGTAAAAAAGAGGTTGAGACGCTAGAAAGAGTGCAGAGAAGAGCAACAAAGATGATTAGGGGGACTGGAAGCTAAAACATATGAAGAACGGATGCAGAAACTGGGTATGTCTAGTCTAAAGAAAAGAATAATTATATATAATAATATCTCAGGGGCTGCCGCAAAGAAGAGGGAGTCAAGCTATTCTCCAAAGCACCTGAAGGCAGGACAAGAAGCAACGGGGGGAAACTAATCAAGGAGAGAACCAACCTTGATATAAGAAGAAATTTCCTGACAGTTAGAACAATTAATCAGTGGAACAACTTGCCTCCAGAAGTTGTGAATGCTCCAATACTGGAAGTTTTTAAGAAGAGATTGGATAATCATTTGTATGAAGTGGTGCAGGGTTTCCTGCCTAGGCAGGGGGCTGGACTAGAAGACCTCCAAGGTCTTTTCCAACTGTTATTCTATTCTATTCTATTCTATTCTATTCTATTCTATTCTATTCTATATTGTGTTTATCAAATTTTAGTAATAATGTTTCTGGAACTGTGCACTTTGATATGGCCCAAGAGCTAATCAATAAATAAAGAATGGATTTCCAATCAGATCAATGATAACAGAATAACAGAGTTGGAAGGGACCTCGGAAGTCTTCTAGTTCAACACCCTGCTAAGGCAGAAGACCCTACACCATTTCAGACAAATAGTTGTCCAATCTCTTCTTAAAATATTCCAGTGTTAGAGGAGCCACAACTTCTGGAGGCAAGCTGTCCCACTAATTAATTTTTCTAACTGTCAGGAAATTTCTTCTTGGTTCTAGGTTGGTTCTCTCCTTGATAAGTTTCTATCCATTACTTCTTGTTCTGCCTTCAGGTGTTTTGGAAAGAGATTCAGTGGGACTTGCTCCTTAGAAATAGACTTAGAATTTCTCAGATAAATTTGCCCAGAATTAGTGAAAGAGATCCAATCCCACAGCAGGGTTTGAACTCTTTGCTCTCCAGATATAACTGGACTCCACTCCTGTCAACATTAACCAGCATGATCAGTGGTCAAAGTTGATTAAACATATTGTAATCCAGCAATATCGGAAAGACTGCATTACTCTCAGCCTTGCTCTAGAAAGATATTATTTTATATCTAATTGTTTACCTGAACCTTATAGTGTATTAATAATAGTGTTGAAGGTATTGACTCTTCAGCACCTTATGACCTATGGACCACAAGGGGGCAATATAGACAGAGAATTATGAGTTATTTGATTCTCCTCTATCACTCTGCCTGGTTTTTGTCTAGGAGGATGCTAATTTGAGGTCACTTCCTTCTGGCTTTCTTCTCAGGCACAGTCACATGGAACCTTTATTTGTTGATGTTCCACATGGTTGGGATTACCAGAACATATTCAACAAATACAGTACAACATTCCAATACAGGATCATAAAAGTTTACAATTGATGGGATCATCCCATCAATGATCTCATGCACTGACCTAGGCAAGTCCTTATTAAAGAAGAAATGTCCCAAATCTCACAACTTCATCAAGCATCTCATGACATGCTTGCATGACATCCTGAAGGGTTGCAGTGTGTTTGGGGAAAATGTTGCATCTTCATGTGAACTCTTTCAAGATATCAGGATTTTCCCATGTGATTTTCTAATACATTATTCTTCTAACGTTTCACAGAGGAAAACCCGAACCTTATTCATCTCATACAATTTTGATCATTTTTAAATTAAAAAAATAATTTGATAGTATTGCTAATTCTTGGTTCAGTCCATCATTGTCATTGCTTGCACCCTAACAGGAGTTGAGACAGTAAAGAAAGAGCCCCGTTTGGCACAATTCCTCATCTACAGACACACACTGGGAATTGTTCTCCTTCTGCCTAGCATATCACGTGGATTTGCACAACATATTTAACCTGGTTACCGAATCAGCTCATTTCCTGGATTTGCATAATACTTTGAATCATCAAGCAACTAATAGACTTAGTTTGTAAGATACACTAAACAAGAAATTACAAATCAAGGTTTTTTTTAAAAAATAGCCAACAGTGGGGACCTTTGTGCTGTCTGAGTTTGGTTGTTTTCTTGCAGATGTTTCCTTACCCAACTAGGGTAACATCACTAGTGATGTTACCTTAGTTTGGTAATGAAATGTCTGCAAGAAAAGCTTAGAGAGCACTGAGAACCCATTGTTCAACCCTGAGCTGCAAATATTCTCTTCTATCAGTAAAACTTTAGCATGTTGTGTGAATCAACCACAAGGTATAACTGATTTGGCTAAGGGTGTTGCATGAAGATAACCACTGTCTAGTTGAAACTGATTATTCACATTCTGCTTAATTCTAAAGTCTCCTTCAAGCCAAGGTTGACTTCAAGCCAAGGATGATTTCATGAGCATGTCCATGTGGTGTTCTTATCAACAGCATGGAGTGTTTTTCTCCCAGGATGTTTTTTCAAGTTCGTTTTCTCTCTTACAGACTTGGAAATTCTTCATGGTTTCCCATTTGAGTATTAATTCAACCTTTTGAGATCGTTGAGATCAATTAGATGCTTCAGTGTAATGGTGCTTTCCCAGTTCATCCCTTCCCAAATTGGTATCCTTTAAATGTCTTAGATTTAAATTCTCAGGTATTTCTGGAGTTGGTCTACCACATCTGGATGACCCAGGCTGGGAAAGGAGATAGAAGCCCAGCCGAGTAGGGAGATTATTTTCATCTATAATTGTATAAATGTTCAGAAACCACCATCTTTTCCTGTTCTCCATATGGATGAATTTTCGTTCAATTTTGCAAATCCACCAGACTTCATTCAAGATCGTTTGGATAGATTTGGAAGACACCAATTTTGGGCAGCCTGGTGCCTGTAATTGGCTGATTGACTTTGCCCATCAGATTAAGAGGTTTATATTATGATGTGGCTCAGTGGTGGGTTTCAAAATTTTTTACTATCAGTTCTGTGGGCATGGCTTGATGGGTGTGGTGTGACTTGGTGGGTGTGGCAGGGGGAGGATACTGCAAAATCTCCATTTCCACCCCACTCCTGGGGGAAGGTTACTGCAAAATCCCCATTCCCTCCCCACCCCACTAACCTGCTTTCCAGCTCCGTTCTCCTATGCAGAGCAACAAAAGAAGACCCAGCCAATCAGCTGGGACTCGGGAGGCAGAACATAGATGGGAGTGGGACCAGTCAGAGGTGGGATTTGCTGGTTCTCCGAACTACTCAAAATTTCTGCTACTGGTTCTCCAGAACTGGTCAGAACTTGCTGAATACCATCCCTGATGTGGCTGGAGTTCACGCATTAGGCTTAACTCTGAATCCAGGTTAATATAATCTTGAAATGCCCAAACAGGCATACTCTATTATACTTTGTTGTGATGGCCTGATCCAACCTATATATACAGGCCAAAAACCAGATTCCCACAAAATACAGAAGCCAGGAAATCTACTTCCATTTTTGCATTGTCTGAGATGTTGTGCAAACTCAACTTGTTTGTCACCAGATAAAACCGATGTGCAAAGAACAGCACATGCAAAACATTGTGGCATAAATACCCCTTCCTACACACCATGAAAGACCAGAATGCATTATTCCAATAACATGATAATAACTACAGTCTGTCTCTGGCCTCTCCGGCAGTTGCACGTTTCCCCCTTCCTTTCTACCCTCCCTCTCCCTCTATGGAAACTCTGACACACACAATCTGCATCATTTCATCTCCATGGGGCTCTTCTGCTTATTATTACTACACTTTTCATCCTGTGCAAATGACAGCTACAAAGGTCACCTACAACCCCTTCGAAGAGAGCTTAACTCAGCTGTTCAGAGGTTGCCTTGTGGTGGGAATGCATGCCTTCTGGTTGCGTACTTAATGAACTCAGGAAACAATTACCAGTTTTCCTCCAGTAAACCTTAGCTTTCGAATAAAACCCTAACGAGAAAGAACACTGGCTTAACTGCTGCAAAGATGAGGAAAGAGGAAGGAAACTAACAGATTAACAGAGTTGGAAGGAACCTTGGAGGTCTTCTAATCCAAACCCTTGCTCAGGCAGGAAACCCCATATCAACCTTGTCAAACGGCTGTCCAAACTCTTCCTAAACCTCCAGTGATGGAGCACCCACATCTTCTGGAGACAAGATGTTTCACTGAATGATTGTTCTGTCAGGAAATGTCTCCTTCATTCTAGGTTGCTTCTCTCCTTGATTGGTTTCCACCCATTCCTTCTTGTCCTGCTTTCAGGTGCTTTGGAGAGTAGCTTGACTCCCTCTTCTTCACGGCAGGCCCTTAGATATTGGAATACTGCTTTCATGTCACCCCTAGTCCTTCTTTTCATTAAACTAGACATTCTAGTTCACTTCTGTTCTAGCTTTTGTTCTTTCTCCTCTTTAGCCTGACCACAGATTTTTGTTGTGGTTGTTGTCCTCAATGGTGCAGGAGCAAATGAAGGTCATTCCTTCTACAACCGATCTGATTAATGGTCTTTTCCCACTGCTTAGCTGAAGTGCTCTTCAACTTACATTGAACTGGTACGGTAGTCAACTACATTGGCAAGAGATTTGATGCCTCCATTGCTGGATCCCCATCTGGCTTAACTGCCTCTGCTCCCAATCAGTGCCATAACAATCCCTCCAGAAGAACAAGTGGCAAAACAGATTGGATCCAATCTGGGTCGGTTATCGGAACCAAGGGTTTAGACTTTGGAGCTTTCCGACTCGTGCTAGATCCATCCTCATAGAACTTCTCTCTCACCAGAATGTGATGAGAGAGAAGTTCGGTGACCAACCCAGATTGGATCCTGAAACATTATCCTGGGACACGTATATTTGCCTTCAAAACAGATTTGACACACCTTTTCGAGTCTACCTTGATGTGATTTTTGGAATAAAGGAAGAAATTCTATATCAGGTATGGGGAACAATGGCCTCTTTATGACCTGTGGACTTCGATTTCCAGAATTCCTGAGCCATAGATCATAAAGGACCCATCGTTTTTCATCCCTGTTCTACAAGAACACTACTATTAGAGCTAAGGATGATAAGGCCATCTCACTCAAGGTCTCCAAATGAGAGAAGGACAACTAAGCAGGGATGGTATTCAGCAGGTTCTGACCAGTTCTGGAGAACCGGTAGCTGAAAGTTTGAGTAGTTTGGAGAACCAGCAAATATCACCTCTAACTGTTCCCATTCCCATCTATTCTCTGCCTCCTGAGTCCCAGCTGATCGGCTGGGTCTTCTTTTGTTGCCCTGAACAGGAGAACGGAGCTGGGAAGCAGGTTAGTGGGGTGGGGAAAGGGAACGGAGATTTTGCAGTATCCTTCTCCTGCCACGCCCACCAAGCCACGCCCACCAAGCCACGGCCACAGAACTGGTAGCAAAAAAATTTGAATCCCACCACTGCAACTAAGGATGTGTCGAAAATAAGAATGGTGTATTTTTGCTGAGGGAAAGCGGAAGGAGAAAATGGCTCTAACACTGTCAAAATGGCTTCTGGATTGCAAACCTGAATGCTCTGATGGTCGTGAGGCCTTCTGTAGTCTCAGAAAAGTGGCAAAGGAGAGGCAACTGAGTGCTGTCGTCAAGTTCCTGGAGATCCCTGTTACCAAGAGAAAGAAGACGAGCCAAGAAGAAACCATATTTCAGCAGCTAGTAAACAAGGGCCTGGTTTCCCTTATTAAACCATTGGATCACTTGCTCTCCCTAAACAAAAACGTGAGGATCTTTTATTGTTATTATGCATGCCCAGATTCCCTTGGAAATTATCCATTGGAAACCACCTATCAAAAGGAGCTTAAAACATCAACAGGGAAGGAAACTACCCATTTTGTTTCAGGAGTTTCCCTTTTTTTTCCTCTTTCTGATACTCATTTATTTTTGTTATAGAATAGAATAGGGTAGAATAGAATAGAATAGAATAGAATAGAATAGAATGGAATGGAATGGAATGGAAGGGAAGGGAAGGGAACGGACCAGAACAGAACAGAACAGAACAGAACAGAATAGAACAGAACAGAATAGAATAGAGCTGGAAGGGACCTTGGAGGTCTTCTAGTCCAGCCTCCTGCTCAAGCAGGAGAACCTATACCATCTCAAACAAGTGACTGTCCAGTCTCTTCTTAAAAACCTCCAGTGAGGGAGCACCCACAACTTCTGAAGGCAAGCCGTTCCACTGGCTAATTGTCCTCACTGTTACGAAGTTTTTCCTTAGTTCTAGGTTGCTTCTCTCCTTGATTAGTTTCCATCCGTTGTTTCTTGCCTTGCCTTCTGTTGCTTTGCAGAATAATTTTTTCTTTGTTCTTTTTTTTTTTGTGTGGCAGCTTCTCAAATACAGAAATACTGCTATTTATTTATTTATATCCTGCCTTTAATTTATTTTTTCAATAAATAACTCAAGGCAGAAAACCTACCTAATGCAGTACTTTCTTTCTTCTCCTATTTTTTTTCCCCGTAAGAACAACTCTGTGAGTTGAATTGGGCTGAAAGAAAATGACCGGTTCAAAGTTGCCATCCGGCTTTCATGCCTAAGACGGGACTAGAACTCACAATCTCCTGGTGATTGGTCCAAAGACATCCAGCCGACTTTCATGCCTAAAGCAGGACTAGAACTCACTGTCTGCCCGTTTTTAGCCTAATGTCTTGTCCACTAGATTCTTTTTCTTCCTTGTCTTTCATTCTCCTTTTTTTTTTATCTGCTTCCTTGCAAATCAAACAAGGATTGAATGCTTCTGCCAGAGGTTTTAATTGTTATTTTAAAATTAGCCTTGCATAGGATTAAGCCTAGAGCTCTGAACATGCAGCTTTAGTATTGCACAATGCCCAATCCTGCCACAAACACTTTCCCTGCTGGCGATAACAAACATCAAAATTCTAAGGTCATCCATTAGTTAAACATTTGTATCTTTTTTTTTTTCAAGAGAGAGAGAGAGAGAAAAATGAAGAACTTACTTAGATGCGACTCTGAAGTATTTCTGGATGAAATAAAACGCTACTCCAAGAGGCAAGAGAGCAAGTAGGAAGTAGTGGGTGGTGTATGAAATCATCCCGACAGCAGATAGACAGAGTAATGTTGAACGCGAGAGGGATTCCACAGTTGGTGGAATGTGCTGCAACAAATATAGGCAATAAATGTGAGTGAGAGGCCGCTACTTCCATGGCCCAGTTGAGAAAGGCTCAAGGCCCGATAGTGGGCCACGGCTGATCTAGACATGTATAAAATATAGATTTTTCCCACTCGTAGCATGCAACAAATCAAGGTGCTCACCTGATCAATAATATTTGTATCAGCAGAAAAACGGTTCAGAATTAGCCCCAAAGGGGTCATATCGAAGAATCTGTAAAGGGGGCAGGAACAGTAAAAGATTGTCCAGTGTGGAAAGAATGTTCCCAATTATTTTATTTTGTAAATAACTAGCTCTATACCAGGGTTTCGCTATGAAACTATTTGATTGGGTTTAGTTTTGGGGGGAGGAAAATAAGGGGGGAAAAATTGTGCCTCTGCCTTCCAGCATCCATCAGTATTCATTTGGCTAGCATCCTGTCAGTGTGTGAGAGAGTTGAGGGCTGTTTGGAAACTGCAGCAGTATTTGCTGTGTGAGCAAGAAGGAGACAGCAAGGAGCCTGGGCATGGCTCAGCTGAACTGCAGTTGGAAGAGATTTCTTTTCAGGTGGGGAGGGGGAGTAGAACTCCTTAGCATCAGAGTGTGTTAATAATAATACAGGAAATACTAACGCTCTGATAGTCATTTCGAAAAATCCTTTCTTGGTGAGCACCTAGAAGCCAAGAGGAACATATGTACCAATTTTCAAATTTGTAGGCTGTACAGTTCTGGAGATTTTGTGATGATGCATGATGTCAACCCTTATTGATTGTTACTTTCAGCCAATCGATCTATCATAATGTTTCTTTTTTATATTTTTGGAATGTTGTATCTTTCCCAGATTCTTCTGGTTGGGGCAGGTGATAAAATTGAGGAAAGGGAAGGGGAGGGAGGGAGGGAGGGAAGGAGGGAGATTACATTTTTCCAGATGAAGTTATGGTTACAAGATTCCAGTAGGTGCTTAAAGGCAAGCCCTGGAGCCTTCAACACCTGGGCAGCTTTGAAGTCACCAGAACTCTTCTGCAGCATCACTGATGGTCAGAAAGAATACTGTGTCTCATCAGCCCAGCTGGGATAAGTGATTTGAGGAACCATTAGAGCCTAGCTAGATTGGTGTCAAGAATCAAATCTGTGCTGCAACTATCCTAGTGGCCAAGAGATGGCAGTAAAAATGGAGATTAAAACTGTTTATGCTGCCATCTAGTGGTCCTTTGAATTATTGCAGCTCAGATAAGATACCATATTCTAAAGCAGGGGTGGGCAAACTTTTTGACTCGGGGGCCTCATTGACTTTTAAAATTTGACAGATGGGCCGGGTCAGCACAAGATACGATACATATAAAAAACTGCAAAATTTCCGCAAAATCAAGTCACTGCACCTAATGCGCCACCTGGTGTCAAAATGCGTGTCATTACAAGTCAAAATCAAATGAATGCAATCATTCAATCATTCACATCAAACCTTAATTCTGTACCAATCTTCGGCGGGCCGGATTAAAAAGACCAACGGGCCGGATGTGGCCCGCGGGCCGTAGTTTGCCCACCCCTGTTCTAAAGGCTGGTCTAGTTTATCTGCAGAGGGATTGTAGAGGAAAGGGCTGAACAGCCTTGGAGATGGTGTTGTTTTCCTAAAACCATAAGTAAACTATGGTTACTATTGAAGTGGCATAGAAATTTAATAAAATATGATTGATTGATGGACAGACAGACATTATTTATTAAATTTAAATCCATGGTGATTTTGGTCAGCCGGTGGATGGGTAGATGGATGGACGCACCAAATCATACTTCTTTGCTTTGGAGTTTACCCAAATACAGTTACTTGAAGTGTTTCAGTCTTCTCCTCTAATCTACCAAATACTAGTCTCAGCAATGATCAGATGTTTGAAGTCTATCCCCTAAAGACCCAGCCCCTGGCCACTAGACACTACCTCTTTCCCCCTGGGTTCTGAAGGTCTAGACCCCAGGAGATCTATTAAGTGACTCATTCTGTCTACCAAAAGGAACATGAAGTTTCTGTACCTGATGGGTCCGAGGATGATCTTGTTGAGGAGATCGTGGTAAAGGTTCTTCGCAGCAGTGAGGCCCATCCATTCAACGGTCAAAGACGTGACAAGGCAAAGAACAATGCCTGCCCCACTGAGAATGCTGAAGACTGCAACGTGGCATGTCTGTTCCAAAACAAGAGTACAGTTCTATAAACCAAGGTTCTTCAAACTTGGCCAGTTTAAGACTTGTGGACTTCAACTCCCAGAATTCCTAAGCTAACATGACTGGAGGAGGAATTCTGGGAGTTGAAC